GGCCGCCGGCTCGGGCCGCTGTCTGCCGGCGTCCGGGGAGAACTGCCTGCGCTGGCGTCAGAGGTTAGACGGGGGCAGCCGTGCTGTCGTCACCGGCATGGCGTAGTGGGCAGCGTTAAACAGAGAGGGGTTTTTCAGTTAATAAATGAGTTTGGGTCCGTGGTTTCACCTACAGTAGTTCTTAAACGTTGGCTTGGTGCCGAGACAGCAAAAACGTCATGCATGTTCTGTGGGATTTAGTTTTTTGAATTGGTAGGATTTAGTTTCCAAACTGATGGTTTAGGTTTCAGTTGTGAAATAAATGAGATACAGAGGACGTTTGTGGATTAAAATGCCCGCTTTTTGTATACAGTGAATTAAGAATATGCATGTATTTTTGTGTTAACGCTTCTGAAAGAGAAATAAACGAACTCAAGTGCCAAAGTGATCACCGTAACGCAGCATAGCTGGCTGGCTGGAGACAAAACAGACTTTTTAGATGCTTTTTAGCATGTCTGTGGTTGTAGGTGTGTTTACATAAAATGAGGAGAAACTCAACCCTTTCTTTAAGAAGCTTGCATTTGTCTGCATAAGGCTTGCTTTTAATAAAATAGTGGCAATGAAACGCATCTGGAGAGGTAGTAAATACAATTTCATACATGGCTGCTGAGCCTGATGCATAAAATAACGTCATTTGCAAATATGGAAAACTTTTGCATTAAAGGATCTTTTCACAATGAATATCAAATTTAGAGTTTAAGAGATAACTTTAGGTGTTGGAGCTGGGGTGCAGGCTATTTTGATTGTTTTCATTGAAAGTAAATACACGAAGATGTTTCAATGTTACTATCAAAGTAACATTGTAATAAAGTAACAAAGTAGTATTATGACAGCAGCAGCTTAGTGTTACTGGGTGTCTTTGTGTTATAGTAGCTTAGATGTTAACAAAAAGTCTGCAAGTGAAAGATTTGGTTTTCTCTTTGTTTTCCAAAAAAATTATTCTATGCTTAAAGCAAGGTTTGACATTTTAAGATAGGAGCTCTAATTGTGCTTTGCCACATTGTCTGCGTGGCTTTTGGCAAATTAATTAAACTTGTAAGTAAGTTCATTTATTTTCCTGTAGAATTAATATTTTCTCTGTCAAGTCACATGATTAACCAAAAGGTGAATAGTTAAACATTCTTTGTTTTAAAACAACATTGCTGATACTTGAAAGTGGGAACAATTGAGAGAACTAGAAAAATTAGAGGGGCAGAAGAGCTGTCTGGACTTTATTTGGGGGTGGTTTTGTTTGGGTTTTTTTTAGATCATGGTCTTACCATCAAAGACAATTGTGCCAACTCATGTTTTGAAGGCTGAGAGGATTTTTTTTTATTTTAGGGGGCCAATTTTAGAGCACATGTATCTTTTCAGATGGGTGGGGAAGAGTGGTCAGTTTGGAGCCTGTCACCTCTTTACAGTCTCTCTCTCTAATCCAATTTGGAAAACCCGTTTGAATTCAAGTATAAATATAAGTGAAAACTCTTGGTGTCAAACCTGCTTTCAGGATAAGCTTTTTATTTTGCTTTCTAGGGGCAGTTATTCAGAGTTCTTTGTTCTTTCTTTTACACACCCAGTAGTTTTTCTTAGAGAGTAGCGATAAAATACATTAGTGTACTTTAAAATAAATTATTGTATCCTCAGAACACACTATACTAGCAACAATACCTATTCTATTAGCAAATTCGTGAAGGCTAAGAAAAATCAGGACTAAAATGTCAGCCTGAAAATGAAGTAGTCTTGGTGAAAGAAAAGAAGAAAACGCTTCAGCCATTTTTTAAAAAAAGAAAAAGACAGGAAACTAAAATGTGCCATTGAATTAATAGGAAAATATTTCAAAATGTATGAGGCAAAATTTGTTTTCACTAAAATTGACATATTTTTGTGTTTTAGAGTCGGGTGCTGTTTTCACATTTGGAAAAAGCAAATTTGCAGAAGATGTTCCTAGCAAGTTCTGGTTCAAAAATGACAAGCCCGTACTTATATCATGTGGAGATGAACATACTGCTATTGTTACAGGTCAGTATTGGAAATGGAATATATGATAAAAAGTTATGTATTTGGACAGCTTGGAAAGTTATGATTCTATTTGAATCCTGAGGTAATATGTCAAATGAGATGGTGGAGAGGAGAGAGGACTGTTCTGTGGGAAATGTTGGATGCCTTTGAAGTTAGTGTGAGGTCACTGAAGATTTTCGCAAGACATGCCCAAGAACTGTCCTGATGGAATCTGTAATAACTGAATGTATCATACAGGATTTAAAGTAAACATAATTGTTCAGCTTGAATATTTGTTATGAATCCAACACTGTTCAGTAGTCAGTCTTAAATATGGAGGTTTGTATCATCAATTTAAACAGTATCTGTTGAACACAGTCAACAAGTTAACTAGGAATCTGCCTGAAACAATAGATAAAATGGTATCCCTGAAATGAAGATTTGATTTACTGTTAATGGTCAACTGAAAATAACACTTGAAAGAGCAACTCAAACTTAAGAAAATCCTACTAAAATCAGAAATAAATTGCAAAAGCATTCAAAGAAGCTCACGTGCAATACAGTGAGCAGTGTTAATGTTTATTTTCATTTATTCGAAATGATGGAAACAATACTAGTTGAAGAATTTGTTCAATTTATTTTACATGGAAAGGACTACTCTTGTTAACGAGCATGTGTGTCTATTGTATTGACAATCAACTGCTGATAGATAATAAGACTTTGTTGTTATGAATTTTATATGCATATTTTCAGGACTTTTTTTGTTGTATTTATTCCTCATCGATGCCCAACTAGTCATTGCTCATTAAATAATTTCTTGAGGGTTTCTTGCTATGTCTCCGAGCAGAGTTGAAGATGCTGGATTTTTAGAATGACCTATTCCAGGCGTGATAAAAAAAAGAGTGTAGATTTCATGAACTGCAGAACATCTTGAGGTGAAATTATAGAATTAATTTTTCAAGCCTAACTTCATAGAAGATAAATTATCTATGAAGAGTTTATTTTGAAAAAAACTTGACAATTTGTCTTGGATTGAACAAGTTCTATTAAATTGTCTGTTGCATAATAACCTGGGGCACTGTGACATTTTCCTTTTGAAATTTTTTTAATATAGCCTTTTGCATGCCCACGCCCAGTTTGAAATAACACTAGTATAATTCTCAGTTTAGACAGTCAATTTAAATTGCCTTCTTGAATTCCCTCAGCATGTGCCTGTGCCAGCACTGTTACCCTAATCAGCAACAATCCCCTAATTCCCATGGCACTGTAGTAGTGGCTACTTAGATATAGATATAGATAAAGCTTCTGAAGAAGTTAACTTGCATAGGTTTGCATGCAGCACCATTTCTCTGGGAATTTTCCCTTCTCCCTGATGTTTTAATATATGCAGCGTGTTTCAAAAAGTCTCTGTAGCTGGCCTTTGCTGCTGTAGGTGCAGATGTGTCATCAGGGAAACTTCTAGATAATCAGAGCTTTATTTTCTCAAGGCTTTTGAAGAGAAGAAACTGTAGAAGTATCAGTATTTCTTTGGTACCAAAAGGCTTTTTTGGACATTGTGAAGTAGAGACAAAAGTGAGGGTTAAGTACTGATCAACAATGAGCAAAGGTAGTGAAACCGCAAAAGTCGTACAAAAAATTGAAGAAGGGAAACAGAAAACCTTTGTCCCTCATTTGTTCTTCACACCTGTGCATGCCCGTGTGCACCTCGCATTTCTGCTGTTAGATGGAGTTGGATGATACAGTGGAATTACAGCCCTTGGTGAATGACATTGAACTGCAGTAACACCTGGAATAAAAGCTCCAGAAGTGCACATCGATAATGACTTTACTGAGAAGGGTACAGACCTTGTGGGAAACCAGGAGCTTCTTGAAATCCAGCTGAACCTGACCTGAAAGAGGCAAAAGACAGACATCACTGAGGAAGGGAAAGTATCTCAAGCAGGTGTGTGTTAATGCATGCTTCGTTTTATTTTCAGTCTTTATTTACGGGTCACAAAATTCCCCCCTCCTTTTTTTTCAACCTCCTGGAAGAGGTAGTGGGACCTTATGTATGTGGGGGACAGTGAGAATATGATAGATTCAAATCTAACAAAAATATATCAAGTTTTACACTAATGCATCTCACCAATTATAAGTAAAACAATCACCCAAACTGATACAAAACTTTTCTTAAAGCTAGTTTTGGGCAGGAGAGACAACTACATCAAGCACTGAATTTTGACTGAATGCAAATGAAGAAAATATACAGGAGCTAGTATTTAGCATTCAAACAAAATATTCAGAAATTCTCAATTCCGATTTGAAAAAAAAAAATTTCATCAAATGCAGCATCAATATTCCTATATGACTCTTTGGAATAAAAGCCCAAAGTAAATACAAAGCACTCTATTCTTTGGCTTTCTAGGTCAGGAGTTAAGAGTCCAAAATTTTATTTACATACTGTGGCTGTATGTTGGAATAGAAAAGACAGGTGATAGTTACTTTCTGACTTTGAGTTGGCTTGCTAAGCGAGTTGGAGAAACACTTGTTTCTCCAGTTGTAGAGTTTGGGATTGAAATTGTGTCTCTTTATTGCTTTACTCTTTACCTTTAGCAGCATCTTCATTAAAATGTTCAAGCAGGAATTTTTTTAAGCAATTGTTTTCTGTAGTTCTGCAGTATATCTTCCAGCATCCCTTATAATGTGTTTGATAATGTTTCTTGCCCCATTTCTATATTTTGTGGCCAAAGAATACTGACAGTCCACTTCCTGCATCTTCTGTAACTGCAGTCTTTGTCAAGACTAGTTAACTTTTATTTATCCTGTTGGGATCTGGTGTGATGTTATGCATATTTTTAAGAATCTCCCCCCAGTACCTTTCTATTAATTTTCTTTTGTACCAAGCACTTATCAAGTTAACAGCTGTCTTATTGTTTATTTGCCTTGATTAGCGTATCCTAGGTAGCTTGCCCATATTTGATTAGAGACTGATCCTGTTCACAAGGGGGAAAATGCTGATGAAGGAAGATATATTTTCTGAATTCAGAGCTCTGGAGAGAACTGAAGTCCCCAGCACAAGAGGGTAGAAGGAAGGAAAGAATTATCAAGTGTATAAGTAGGAGTGAAAAGAGGTGCATATGGAACCACAACAAGATAGTATGCTCATAATTTTACGTTTTGTAAAGCATTAAACATTCAACAGTTTACACCAAAGAGACCTTGGAATCTCTCCAGGTCTTTGGACACCAGATTCCTGCTATTCTTTCTGCCTGCCAGCAGGTCATCAGAACATGGCACAGTATCTTTTGCATTAACTGCAAGGGGAAAATGAAAGATTAGTACATGTTTGTGTTGATCTTTGATACGTGTAAGAGCAAGCAACATACTGTGCTCGTTTTGTTTGTGTGATGCTGAGTGTCCTAAGCGTGGCTGTTCTTATTGCTCAATAAAGCTTTTATTTTGAGAATATTGTGACTTGCCTAACAAAACTGATGTCATTCCTATTTTCATGAGATGTATTTGAATTGTATATGAATTTTAAATGAACCATTGCCACAGTTTATTCACAAAATAGTGCAAATAAATTTTTAAAAAATCATGGTGCCTGGCATGTGATACTCTGTCCAAAATACTACCGTGTAGCTTCTCAATAGAATCTTGTAATAAATGCTTGAAGTCTGTATATTGTTTCCCCATTTCATTTCCTTCCCACACTAATATAATTTAGTAAGCCTGGGGCAGGGGGAATATGTAAAACATACCTTTAAACATAGGTGATAGGAATACTTGGCTATCTGCTATTATCTTGAAGCATGTTGAGGATTTCAGCTGGTATTTCCCTGCTATTGAATGAAGTGTCTTTAGGAGGGCTTCATGAGCCTGGGGAGCACATGACAGATGGGGCTCCCAGGAATCACAGTTGTGATAGCAGCTACTCATATAAGAAGTGTACTGGCTAGGAGACACTCTCTTCCTGAAATCTCTCACAAAACTGCTGTTCCTAAACATGTAAGCATCTTTTGGCTTCCCTTATAGCCCTGAATTAATAATACATACTCTGAAGAAATATTCCGGTCTTGCATCAGAATGAAGATGGGCACTGGTGTTGGAAGTATGTTTTCATCACCAGAACATTCTGAGTAGTCCCTTTCTTTGGATCCTGTACTTTCCCTTCTGCTGCCCAGTTTTAATCTTACTCTGCCAGACCTGTCTTCTTCCAGTCATTCCAGATGGCAATTGGCCACAATCTCTGTATGTCAGCACCAAAGTGGCAGCAAAAGACCAAGAGCAATCTGAGTTTGCAAAGCTTTGAAATATGATCTTGACTATTTGTCTGCTGTTGAATTAGTTCTCACCTCAGTGCATCTGTTGTGATGACTGGAGATACCTCAGTATGCAGTTATGAAAATAGGGCTTCTTGAGTACAAAATTATGTTGTGTTTCCTGGCCAGCTTAGATTTCATCATGTCTGTCCCAAAATCTGATTTGCCGTAGAGACTCAGAAAGGTTGTTTCATTACAGGCATTTGTTTAGGTTCCTCTACACTGCCTATTAATTTTCATTCATTGTCTGAATTACCTGCTTCTGTTTTCTTTTTTTCTGTCACACTGCTGAGTATTGGGAGCCTGAAATTTTAAAGGCTGGCACTCAGTTGTAAAAGAATGTAAGAAAAATTCCTCTCATCTGTTTGGCATTTTGACTTACAAAGCAATGCCTGAGAATTTAAAGACTGGTATAAGAAACAGAAGGCTACAGGATGAGAAGCATGACCTGTTGGAATTTTGAATCAATGAAAGAGAATGTGCTTAAATTAAATTACAGCAGCTTGGCATCGTATTCCCTCAGGAGTACTACTGTCTTATAAAGGCAATTAAAAATTATAAACCAAGGATACAAGGAAGCATATACCAAAAATTCTTTCTGTTAAGGTGCATTTTGCTCTTAGTAACAGACAGCTCTCTATGAGTTTTGATATGATTGCCTTATCAAAATCGGGATGGTGATATAAACACAATTAGTAAAACACCATGAGTATAGACTTGACCTCAGAGTTTCTTCCAACTTGGAAAGACACAATATTGACACACAACCTCACATTCCAAAAATTGTCGAGTATAACAATTTGATTTGGACTTTATATTCTAGTTATTGTTATTTGTTGGTGGGGGTTTTTTTTTGTTTTTTTTTGTTTTTGGGGGGGGGGGCGGAAATCCT